CTTACTGGAGGGTAGGAGGGCTGCCCTAATCAACGTAGAAGACTCAGCTTTCTACTTTGGCATCATACACTGTTTTTGGCTGAGTATTTATACTAGTTATATGGAAAAAATATATATATACCAAAACTTACTATACTTCATTAAGCAACATAACATAAAGGTCTGATTCAACAGAAACAGTGGCGAGTGGTTATATTTACAAATATGTTAAAGTGTATATACTTGTCAAAAAACATTTAAAGTGGTTATGATGGAATTCTAAGTTCCAACAGTTTGAGTTAAACAGATAAACCTGAAAACATGAAAGCACAATAAACAGATTCATTGGCCAGGAATATTTGCTGCAGCTCTCAGGGCTGGATACCTTTTTTTTTTTTAAAAAAAATAAGAGATGAGGCCTTGCTATATTGCCCAGGCTGGAATGCAGTAGCTATTCACAGGCACGATCCCACTACTGATCAGCATGGGAATTACTTATGACCTGCTCATTTTCTGACCTGGGCCAGTTCACCCTTCCTTAGCCAACTTGGTGGTGCCCCACTCCCAGGAGGTCACCATATTGATGCTGAACTTAGTGTGAACACCTGATCGACATAGCACGCTATAGCCCAGAACTGCTGGGCTCAAGTGATCCTCCTGCCTCAGGCTCCTGAGTAGCTAGGACTAGAGGTGTATGCTACCATGGCCGGCCAGATACATTTTTATATCTCTTCTTAATCATTGCTTCCTTTCCACTGTATTCCCATCTTATTGTTAGGTGCAACTCATCTTTAAGTCAGTAAAAGGAAAAAGCCCTTGAGCTCATCACATTTTCTTTAGCGATTTTTTTGATGCTTCTCCTGGTTCTGAAGGTCACGTGCTATATATTTCCCCATCTATATGCCAGTTGGAAGACTGACAGAGAAACTTAGGTTGATTAAGAAACAAAGATTATGAGAAAGTTTTCCTAAACGCCTATTATTATAAATCATCTGTTTCTATACACAATTACAGATTTAGATAACCAAACTGTATGCTTTTCATAAGGTTTTCATAAGTGGAAAATCAGAATGGACCAGATAATTGACAAAGAAAAAAACAGAGTGGCTGCAAGCAAACCCCTACCTCTTTCTGAAGTGGAATGTTTTCTTTCTTCAAAGCCAGGAGCTCTTCTGTCTTATCTACCTCATTCTTAAACCTTTGCATGTCTTGCTGTAATTCTTCATGTAGATCTACTTCTGATGTACTGTCACAATCTGATAATAAAAAACTCAGATTTTCTAAGTCAGGTTTCAGGCTTTTATAGTTATTTGTACTGCAACTGTCACTATATTGGTTCATATTTTTTGTCATTTGCAAATCAGACTCTTGGTCTTCTTTCATTTCAACTGTAACTACTTCTGGGTTCCTTGCTTTCTTAGTGTGTGCATCATTACAAAAGTTCTCAACTGTGCTACAAATATGCTCAATGCCAGGTTTGTTATCACTGTCGCTGTCTGATTTATTTTTACGTAAATGAAGCTTACAAGATGACTGGCAAGCATGTTCCAGAGACCCAGGGTATGGATGAGATGGAAAGACATTTTTGAGACTGGGTTCCTTTTGTTCAGGAAGTGTCTTGAATACCACAGAGACAGGTACTTCAGATGCATCTTCTTCCTCACAACCAGGCATATTATTTGTCCAATTAGAGGGAATGTCCTTTACATTTGTTCCCCTTGTAGAGTTATCAAGTAGATGCTCTTCCTCAGGACAAGTCGGAATTTTGTTATTTTTCACAGGTTTCTCCAAACCTCTGCTTTAACTCATTTGTAATGAGTTTGAATTTGCTTTTCCATTCTAATTTGCCTTGCTCGATCCACATTTGCTCAGAATTTTGCACATGAGGAAGTAATGAATACACAGGTATATCCTCTCTATCACAATCCTTAGCCATTTCTGGTTCTTGAGACATTTTCTGCAGATACAAAAGTGCAAGATTCGTTTGCTTGTTTTGTTTTTCAGGTGTCTTGTCTGTTAGGATGCATGTTTTAAAAATAGCTTTGTCCTTAAGTAACAGGTATGAACAAAGAAAAATTTACAAATAATTAAAATGAAAATTTAACTGTTAAACTTTGTAATCTAGGTTTAGCTACTCCCAAATCACCGGCTTGTGACTAAGAAATAAAAAACAGTTTGTCTTGGCTGAAAAGAGGAGGAAAATATGAAGCAGCAAACTTAACTGTGTCAATGTTTGTTTGGAATAAGCTTAATTATGTGTTGAATCTACCAAAAATGAATTAGCAGATGATTTCTAGTGTTACAAAGGCTTCCTCACTTGAAAAGTGAGCCCCTGCAGTACGTTTAAATACTCTTTCTATAGACTACTAACGGGAGTCTAGGCAGTCTTTAAATTATTAGGAGCCTAAATCAATATCAATCAGAAAGAAAAGCAAATTCTTAAGTTTTAATTCAAATTATTACTGTAACATCATAGGGTTACATATTTAGACTATCTGCTTCAGTTCAGTTCTAATACATACTACAGTCCCCTAATAACACTAACTAAAACTTTAAAAATAGTATTTACTATCTTTCTGCATCTAAAAAGTTAGAAAGTTATTGTTTGTACCCCAACACCAAAGATCCCATTTTGCAAGATTTGATTCCCTTAATAGTCAGTTGGGTTGATTTCATAACCCCACTCTCACTGAATATAGACCCTGAAGTCAATGAGAGGCCACACAGCAGAATACATCTTTAACCTTGGCATTAGTAACTGGCAATATCAAACTGCAAAATTTGAGCCACTCGCCATGATTACTCTTTTACCATGAATCCAACTCAGTGGCCATCACTGTTAAATTGTTCATAATTTCTGCTGCTTAAAAATATGTTTTAATTACCTTCATTATCCTGTAAAGACATTGTAAAAATTGCAGAGTAAACAAAATTCTGGAATGTTCTGCCTCTACTCCAAGGGTAAAGATTAACTACAAATTATGATAGATTCTAACAATATTGTGTTTTATAACTAGTTTAAATGTATTTAAAATTAAATATTAAATAAGAATCTACTGATTCTCAAAGGCTAATCTGAAAGGTAATTTCATTTGGGCTATCTTAAATTATTAAAGCAAAAAAAAACAGTATTAAACCAGAAATTTGGATTTAATTTAAATGTTTACACACCTGTGGCTGCTTATTTTCATGTCCTTTAAGTCTTTCTTCCTCTTCCTCTGATGGCAGCTCCAAGTCTTGTTCTTCTGCGAAATCCAAATGTTTAGTTAAACTACTTAGAAGTTAGATAAAAGAGTATTTATAAAAATAGATTTTAAATTACGTTTCATTTTATTTCATAAATTGAGTTTAAATGAAGCTTGATCTTTAGTGGAATGCTTCCTTCTCTAAGAAATATTTCTAATTCTCCAAAACTTCAACAAACCATTTTGTGGGAGACACTAGATGCCACCTGGTTAAAGAAATACAATCGTGTTGAAGATTCACTAACAGGTTCATCCACCCAACGTCAATGAACAAAGCCATCACAAACAAGACATTTTGGAATGCACCAGCAATATTATTAGGCAATGCTGTATACTGTTCTCTACTTCATAGTAGTACCCTATTAATGATTTCCAGAATGACTGTGGACACCTTTATCGGTGTATACCCTCTTCCTAACATCTGAAATGTTTTCCTGTATTATTCTGACAAATGTATTGATATGTTTGTCTTTTAAAACAGACTGCTGGGCCAGGCGCGGTGGCTCAAGCCTGTAATCCCAGCACTTTGGGAGGCCGAGGCGGATGGATCACGAGGTCAAGAGATCGAGACCATCCTGGTCAACACGGTGAAACCCCGTCNATACTCTTTCTATAGACTACTAACGGGAGTCTAGGCAGTCTTTAAATTATTAGGAGCCTAAATCAATATCAATCAGAAAGAAAAGCAAATTCTTAAGTTTTAATTCAAATTATTACTGTAACATCATAGGGTTACATATTTAGACTATCTGCTTCAGTTCAGTTCTAATACATACTACAGTCCCCTAATAACACTAACTAAAACTTTAAAAATAGTATTTACTATCTTTCTGCATCTAAAAAGTTAGAAAGTTATTGTTTGTACCCCAACACCAAAGATCCCATTTTGCAAGATTTGATTCCCTTAATAGTCAGTTGGGTTGATTTCATAACCCCACTCTCACTGAATATAGACCCTGAAGTCAATGAGAGGCCACACAGCAGAATACATCTTTAACCTTGGCATTAGTAACTGGCAATATCAAACTGCAAAATTTGAGCCACTCGCCATGATTACTCTTTTACCATGAATCGAACTCAGTGGCCATCACTGTTAAATTGTTCATAATTTCTGCTGCTTAAAAATATGTTTTAATTACCTTCATTATCCTGTAAAGACATTGTAAAAATTGCAGAGTAAACAAAATTCTGGAATGTTCTGCCTCTACTCCAAGGGTAAAGATTAACTACAAATTATGATAGATTCTAACAATATTGTGTTTTATAACTAGTTTAAATGTATTTAAAATTAAATATTAAATAAGAATCTACTGATTCTCAAAGGCTAATCTGAAAGGTAATTTCATTTGGGCTATCTTAAATTATTAAAGCAAAAAAAAACAGTATTAAACCAGAAATTTAGATTTAATTTAAATGTTTACACACCTGTGGCTGCTTATTTTCACGCCCTTTAAGTCTTTCTTCCTCTTCCTCTGATGGCAGCTCCAAGTCTTGTTCTTCTGCGAAATCCAAATGTTTAGTTAAACTACTTAGAAGTTAGATAAAAGAGAGAGTCTTTATGAAAACAGATTTTAAATTACGTTTCATTTTATTTCATAAATTGAGAGTTTAAATGAAGCTTGATCTTTAGTGGAATACTTCCTTCTTTAAGAAATATTTCTAATTCTCCAAAACTTCAACAGACCATTTTGTGGGAGACACTAGATGCCACCAGGTTAAAGAAATACAATCGTGTCGAAGATTCACTAACAGGTTCATCCACCCAACGTCAATGAACAAAGCCATCACAAACAAGACATTTTGGAACGCAGCAGCAATATTATTAGGCAATGCTATATACTGTTCTCTACTTCATAGTAGTACCCTATTAATGATTTCCAGAATGACCGTGGACACCTTTATCGGTGTACACCCTCTTCCTAACATCCGAAATGTTTTCCTGTATTATTCTGACAAATGTATTGATATGGTCATCTTTTAAAACAGACTGCTAAAAATAAATAAAAACAGAGTGCTAGATGAAATTAACCCTCCTCCTGGCTATCTTTCCCCAGGTAAACAGGTATCTCGGTATCTCCTTCCTTGGGGCTCCCCTAGGACTTTACTGATTTTTCTACTGCATCTCTACCACCTGAACTGTCGATAACTGCTTTACACATCTATTCCCTTTGCTCTTAGACTGTAGGAACAATCTTGAAAATCATCTTTGTACAAAGAGTCATTATCTATTTTACTCAGCAGTTTTTTTTATTGAGTCTTGCTATGTGCTAGGCACGAGGATTTAAAGGGGGAAAAGAAAGCATGTCAGAGATGACTTTTCTAGAGATCCCACCCAAGCTGACACTTAAAGAATGAGGCCAGCCAAATTAGAAGGGGTAGGGGGAAGGAAAGGGTGAGAGCATGCCAGGCAGCAACAAAAGCATGCCTGACAGAGTATATGTATTTGCCCACAATCGAGGGATGGGTGAACAGGACACGACCAGCAGTTCGGTAAGGCCAGAGAAAGAGCACACAGGGGAAATTGCTAAAGATGGAGAGCTGAGCAGAAGTCACATTATGAAAGCCTTATGTGTAATTTAATGTTCTCAAGACATTAATGTTCTCAAGAGTCCTACTTGCATTGACCATAGAATACTCTCAATGCCAAAACCAACATTCCTGGTGAACACATTTATTAACACAGGTGGTAGCTCACGTGGACACAGCCGAGGAGATACTATGCAGCAAATTTTCTGTGATTCTCTTTAGTCACTGACTTGGAAAATCAATTCTATAATACATAAAGTCATAGAAAGGATAGGAAGTCACTTAATATTTGCTTTTGGAAGGTGCCTTTTAAGTTTATAGTGCACATAGTTATAACTAACAGCTGTGAATTCAGAGCTGTAAAAATAAAGCAAAGAAACCACACTGTGTTTGAGTCAGCAATCTTTAGGTCTCTACTGAGTTATCCTAAATATAATCCTATGTTAGTCCCTAAAATATTTAGTCTCTACATTCTAAATTTAATCCTACTTTCTAAAGAAAATCATGCTTTCCCCTAATTCTCTGTTATCTAGATGTTGCTTTAGTTAAAGGAAGAATACAAACGTCCTGCCAAAAGGTATTCTGTTCAGTGCAAAAGGAGACTAAACACAAAGCACATTTTACCAGAAAATAATTTTTTAAAGTTAGAACTATAGCACTATGCAGCCAAACAGGGGCACTCTAGGACTGAATTCTCCACGCTTCTTTGTTACCTTCTTTGCTCTCTTTGTTTTCTGGCAGCTGTGATTGGCACACGTCATGGAGAGTATTATTCCCTGAGAGAAATACAACTCCAATGTTGCTCTTTTCTTGTTCTATTAAGTTCACCTGTCCCAATTCTTTGGTGTCTGACTGTTTTTTAGACGTTGATGGTGATATAGTTAGACATTTATCATCAACTTTCAGATTCTTGGATCTCTCACGAGTCTTATCACTATTGGTCATATTAGTAGGATGCCAATAAAACAGTAATTTAACTAACTTGTATACATGTTTGTTTGTTTGTTTGTTTGTTTGTTTTTTGAGACAGAGTCTCGCTCTGTTGCCCAGGCTGGAGTGCAGTGGCATGATTTCAGCTCACTGCAACCTCCGCCTCCTGGGTTCAAGCAATTCTCCTGCCTCAGCCTCCTGAGTAGCTGGGATTATAGGTGCACGCCACCACGCCTGGGTAATATTTGTATTTTTAGTATAGCCAGGGTTTCACCATGTTGGTCAGGCTGGTCTTGAACTCCTGACCTCGTAATCCACCTGTCTCAGTCTCCCAAAGTGCTGGGATTATAGGCGTGAGCCACAGAAACAGTCCCACGTCCTGTTGTCTCCCACAAACATACTATGCATTCAGGGCTTATTATATTTTATATGTTCTATGCTTGCAATTCATTGAGATAAGTTTAATTAACTATCATCTCTCACTTTTTCTACATTTTTACGTTTACTTTTACTTACTTTGATTCACCCAGCAGTCTCTATTACATGTTTTGCATTCCATTAAGATTCTTCATGGATGTAAATTTTTTATAAACAGAATTTATGTCTAACCATTTTAAACTTAAATATACATGACTGCCTCGTGTGTATGTATTCTACATTCTTTGTTACCTTCTTTGCTCTCTTTGTTTTCTGGCAGTTGTGATTGGCACATGTCGTGGAGAGTATTATTCCCTGAGAGAAGTACAACTCTAAGGTTCATCTTTTCTTGTTCTATTAATAAAAAACAGACTTACAGGATTTACAAAAAGTCATAATAAATATACTTTAAAAACTATTTTAATTATAATGAGATAGTCTTTCCTGAATGTACCACTACCTTCAGAATTTACTTTCAAATACTTGGATAAACTTCACACATTTATATGCAAAATGAGAGCCTTAAGGGACCTAATTGTTCCCATATAAAAACAGGATTAGTCTAGGACAACATCAGATCCAAAGAGCACGCAGTACCATGAGACAGGAAAGGAATATATAACAAAAATATTTTCCTTTTTTCTTTTTTTTTTTGTATGGAAACAACTTTTTAAAAAATTATTATACTTTAAGTCCTGGGGTACACGTGCAGATCGTGCAGGTTTGTTAACTGCTACACAGGTATACATGTGCCATGGTGGTTTGCTGCGTCCATCCCCCTGTCATCTACATTAGGTATTTCTCCTAATGTTATTCCTCCTCTATCCTCCCACCCCCTGCTATCCTTTCCCATCACCCTCCCCACCTCCCAACAGGCCCTGGTGTGTGATGTTCCCCTCCCTGTGTCCATGCCCTCTCACTGTTCAACACCCACTTACAAGTGAGAACATGCGGTGTTTGGTTTTCTGTTCTTGTGTCAGTTTGCTGAGGATGACGGTTTCCAGCTTCATCCACGTCCCTGCAAAGGACATGTACTCATCCTTTTTTATGGATGCATAGTATTCCATGGCATATATGTGCAACATTTTCTTTATCCAGTCTATCATTAATGGGCATTTGGGTTGGTTCCAAGTCTTTGCTATTGTAAACTGTGCTGCAATAAACATACGTGTGCATGTGTCTTTATAATTGAATATTTTATAATCCTTTGGGTATATACCCAGTTATGGGATTGCTGGGTCAAATGGTATTCCTAGGTCTAGATCCTTGAAGAATCACTACACTCTCTTCCGAAATGGTTGAACTAATTTACATTCCCACCAACAGTGTAAAAGTGTTCTTATTTCTCCACATCCTCTCCAACATCTGTTGTCTCCTGATTTCTTAATGATTGCCATTCTAACTGGCGTGAGATGGTATCTTAATGTGGTTTTGATTTGCATTTCTCTAATGACCAGTGATGATAAGCTTTTTTTCATGTTTTTTCTATATAAACAAAATTGTTGGGATTTAAATTTTTTAAGACAAGTGAAAGAAAAAAAGCAAAAAAACACAGAAGTGAAACTTTAAAGGCCATTGCATCATCAAGGGCCCATTTATCCACAACCATATTCAAACCACATATGTATGTGGTTTAAAATGTTGGCTCTAAATTGTGATCTGAGAATCCCTGGAGTTCAAGATCCAGGCAGGGGGTCTAAGAGGTCAAATAATACAAAATGTTATTTGCCATTTTCACTCTCATTCTCTTTCAAGTGTACAGTAGAGCTTTTCATAGACATGATGTGTCATAGCGGCATAGTTCTAGTGGTGAATGGGTCATAGTTCTAATGTCTATTGGAATGTATGGTTGTGTATGCTTGTTTTTTAAATATTTTAATTTCTAAAATAGTAAATATCAATAGATACAACTAACTTAAAAGCTCTTTGGAATCTGCAATCATTCTTAAAATGCAATCATTTTATTTATTTATCATTATGAAGAGGGTTTAACTGAGATCCAGTAATTTGATAGAAAACCAGAGCTTCCTGTGTCAATAAGGACTGACCTCAATAATGTAATGTGACCAGACAAAAGAAAGTTGCAAAATATGTAGAGTGTACAACAATGTATATATACTTTTAGGACATAAAAACAAATTCTACATATTATTTATGACCATACACATGTGTAATAAAATGTTTTAAAAGAGAATGGAAATGGTAAATGGAAATAATAATTCAGGGTGTCAGTTACCTCTAGGCAATAATATTTAATCATATAAAAGAAACTTCAGGCCGGGCACGGTGGCTCACGCTTGTAATCCCAGCACTTTGGGAGGCCGAGGCGGGTGGATCATGAGGTCAAGAGATCGAGACCATCCTGGTCAACATGATGAAACCCCGTCTCTACTAAAAATACAAAAATTAGCTGGGCATGGTGGCGCACGCCTGTAGTCCCAGCTACTCGGGAGGCTGAGGCAGGAGAATTGCTTGAACCCAGGAGGC